AGATGTGTATAAGAGACTTGTGGCAAGTCTAGTCACTGATAAGTTAAATATATTGGTCAGTGTCCACTGTTTCAGATCTACAAATCATCCCGAGGAATATATCACCCTTCCCCAGTATCTACTACCCTCTCTTCCTCTTTCACTATCTCATCAATTACTCAACCCTGTACCTCAACCACACCCTTCATCACACCCAAAAGTTTACTTCCCCATCCTATTCCTCTCCTCCCTATTTTTCCGCTCCCTCACTCTTTTCTCTATTTCTTCCCCTCTAGCCCCACTTCTACACAAACTCATTGTACACCTCACTAAAAACGACAATTGCTTATAAGAGTCTTGGTTAAGCATCATACCTCGGTGAGTTCATTAGTCTTTTCTTCCAGACGTTTGTGTTCATTATCTCTGTCATCCTCTACGGTCATCTTCATGCATTTCATTTCAGTTAGACTCTTCTCCAGGAACTTGCAATCCTTTTCAGATTTCTCAAATTTGGTTCGAAACTCTTCTTTCATTTCTTTTACTTGGGAGCATTCTTCAGCCAAAGTCTATATAAAACATAATGTTTAAAACAATTTAAATATAAATAAAAAATATATAATAAAAATTATAATGTAATCATAACATCATACTGTAAATCTGTTGTCTATTTTCTAGGCCTATCTTTGTTTCAATTATGAAAGTTATGTTTAAAACAATAAATCTATCAATGTAATGCTAATCATAATTCATATAGAAAAAACAGATGAAATTATTTAATAAAATGTTTTTACTATATATTTCAACTGCAATTGGAACCTTTCTATACCTTAAAATCCTGTTGGTTTTCTTCCAACTGTTTCTTGAGACTTTCAACTTGTTCTTTATCAGCATCAATCACATCTTGTAACTTCTCATATTCTATTTGTAAACTCTAATTGGGATGAAACAATTTTCCAATGTTTATTACAATTTACTCTTCATGGATTTGAAGTGGAGTTGTGGCTTGGTGGTTAAGAAGCTTGCTTTCCCATTCCATCGTCCTGGGTTCAAATCCTGCGACAGCACAGGATTTCTTCTAATGACTAAAAATCATCTCCACTCCGAAGCCTCATAAAGAGACGTCACTGATAAAAGCATCACATTATTTAATATATTTCAGAGGGCACCTGAATATCAGCTGACCTTATAGGATATGCTAGAAGGGTCACTCTATAAACATGGTTTTAAAAAGATTAATAAATAAACAAAAATAATAGATGAGGTACGAACTATCAACACGATGATATGTCGCAATGTTAAGAGGTAGCAGATATACTACAATAGTTTGAGGGTGGTATTGGTTAACATCCTGATGAGGACAAACAGTTAATTTCCTAACTGAAAGTCTCTACACCAATCTAATAAAGAAAAAACTTCATACTGGTTAAAATTCATATATCTCTATCCACATTAAACAAATACTGTATTACAAATTGGTTTTGTAATAATACTATATTTATTATTATAACATTTTAAAAAATATATAATGATGATGATGATAATAATAATAATAATAATAATAATAATAATAATAATAAAAAAAATATATAAAAATTGAAATAAATTAGAAAATATATGGACAATAAATGTTATTAAAATTAGGTTTAAATCAAGATTATTAATCTTGAAAAACATACTGGATGATTCCGAAGGGGCGTCAATCCACCTATATTGCAGCGGCCATAACTAATCTCAACAAGGACAAAGGCAGGCACCACCTTTCGGCAGTCCACCACCCAGTCATCATGTCATGTGACTTAGATATCACTCCGTTGTCACGTGACCAGGTTCTCACTCCACCAGCCTCTTCATTCATTCTCTTCAGACAGTAGAAAATTTGAAGTAATTTTAACTTATATGTTGTGAGACCAGTTCTAAAAATTTGTTTTAACACATACCTGATAATTTTCAGCCTGTTGTAGGCCACTACTTAGTTTTTCCTTCATCTTCTCAAGGGTACTCTGGTAGGCTGTAAGCTCACCCTGCAATTTCTCATTCTTGCTGTTAGACTGTTTAATCTCTTCTGTCAATTTCAAGACCTAAGGTGATGATAATAACAATAATACTGATAATAATAATGATGATAACAACAATTGCTTGCACAAATTATTCGTTCCATTCAGCCCACCAGATGAGTTAAATGTCCAATGTTAAGGTAGAGGTGTCACAACGTACAGGCATAATATCGGCGTTGGTTCAAACAGCACGCTCGCCTATGATTCTAGTGGTGGAACAAGTCTTCTTGGATAAGGACTATAAACAGTAGGCCCAGTGTACAGAATTTGGCTTGTGTGCACCTAGAACCCAGTACATCTTTTGAGACAAGTAGGGGGTTAGCCTGGTGTACTGGTCCATTCAGCCCCTGTTGTGGACAGACGAAAGTAGTTGGTACCGGTTTACCGGGTAGCTCAGACACGAAGAGACCCTTAGGGGAGAAGCAAGCTACAGTAAGAGCTGGTCCACACATAGAGTGCTATGAGATCTTTTCGGTATAAAGCGCTAAATAAATCTAACTACGTTAATAATAACAATAATAATAGATAGATTTATATAGCGTAGATAAACGAGAACATTACATTACACCTTTAAATTGATAAAGATTTCACAGTCTAATTTAAACCACTTTTCCTGGAATTTCTACTTTATTGGCCTTTATTTTGTTTTGAAGCAAACACTTATAAATTGATTGATCAATTTTACAATTTACCTCATTTTTCCTACTTTCAGCTTCTTTCTTTCCCTTCAATGCTAAACTTTTCAGTTTCTTTTCTTTTTCTTGCATCTCTTTCAGTTGCTTGTTTGCTACCTCTGAAATATGCAAAAAAGAAATCCAATCAATAGGATGTTTTCAAGACATTCAATTCACTATTTTAAAAATCTAATGAAATAACTTACCAATAACGTAAGTACATGGCAAAAAGAGAATTGCTGGTTTTATTCCTACAAGAGTCCATACTCTACTCAATTTACTTAAGGGCTAATGCTGGACAGTTAAAAGTACAGTACATAGATAACTTACTACAAAAATCATATAACTTAACTTTAACAAAAATCTACTATAAAAATCTATACATTTATCATTCATCCATGGTTAGATTTTCAGAGAAAAATATGATAATAAGTACTGTGACCTACCAAGCTCTTCCTTTATATGCTCTCCATCCCCCTGGTTAGCAGAAGTTGTTTGATAAGCCTCTGCAACTTTTTCTTTTTCCTGTAAAATAACATTTGTTATTTGAGATTATTATAAACAATTTTTTAAAGAAAAACACACATTACTAATGGTGAATATATAATGGATTTTTAAAAATAAAAGAAACTGAAATACAAAATTGGAGGGGTCTATACTGGCAACCCTATACTAATTTGTATGCTAAAGTCTGGTCTAAAATAATACACTCTACTGTATTACACACCTAAAATAGTAAATTGGTTTTTTTTATCTTTTGCTAAAAACAAACACTGGACCAGGCAAAATATCAGTTAATATCAATTATGTTGACTCATAATACATGTAGATTTTT